GGGCTGATGGAAAAGCGTGGGCTGGTGGGAAAGGCAGGGAGAGAAGGAACGTAGACAAGGAGAGGCCCGAGGGAGTCGGGCCACATGAACAGGGCACAAGAGCCTGAGCAGGGATTGAGGCTTGTTCTGGGTCTGTCATAATAAAGGTGGTTGAAGTGTCAGCATTAAAAACTCAAAAATGAAAAAAAACCCACCAAAACTTATAAAACAAGAAGATCCAGTGAAGTCATGCTCTCAGGTGGGGTTCCTGTGCAGACCCAGGAGTTGGACTCGATGATCCTTGTGAGTCCCTTCCAACTCAGGATATTCTGTGATTCTATGAGACATGAGAAAGAGAAGAGAAATAAAGAGGATGAAATACACAAAAAGAAAGAAATGGCTGGAAAATTAAAATATTTCTGTTAGAAGGAGAGAACATTCAAGTCATCTCCTTTTTCTTTTTTTTTCCTACAGACTTTAGCTCAGGAATTCTTCTAACCAAACAGAACACTGCCGTCCTGGGCCTACATGGGATTTTTTAACACTTGCCAAATGGTGTCTGTGAGCTTGTAACAGATGTAAAAGATTATTTCCCAAATCTGCAAGAATTGTCACTTTGCACTTGCAAAGTGAAGACGCCTTGACTGGAAATACAAGAAGGATGAATTATGCATGGAAAGTGCTGCCTGGCTATTTTTAATGGTGCATGGGCATAGTCTGGAATAGGGTTTGTTTCCTCCGCTTGTGTTTAAGAGGGGGGTGAGTGAGGAAAGAATGAGAAGGTGAACAGGGAAATCTGCCTCGAAAACACGTGCTGAGGTTTCCTGGTGACAGAGACACCAGCTCAGCACTGCAGAGCAACAGTGCTCCGTGAGGAGCTAAAATCAGGAATAAAATGTTAGGAACTTTATAAGATCATGGAATGGTTCGGGTTGGAAGGGACTTAAAGACCATGATGAAGATGTACTTGCTTGAGCCATTTGGGTGCTTAGAGGAGTCTGAAAGAAAGAATTTCAAACAGAGAACATGTTCAGGTTGTAGCTCCAGTACGTCACAGTGCATATAAACAGGAATGATTAGAGTGGTAAAGTCACAATTAGTGTTTCATTCCAAATTGAATTTTGACTCCCTCAGTTGAGTAGAACAGATTTATTTCCAATATTTTTATTATACTTTGTAGACAATGTGAGGCAGCTCAGAAACTCAATTATTTTTATTAGAAAATATCAATATTATCAAGGTTTGTGTGCTTGTTTTTGTGAATTGAAAAATTATTTGGTATTTTGTGTGTGTGTGAAAGGACAGAGATTTCCTGAGGGAGGGAGGATTTGTGCATCCTGCCCAGTTTATGATGGCTGTGAGTTTGCTCCCCAGCCCTAATTCCTTGATGATCCTGGTGAGATGGGATCTCCAGCCCTCACACAGTGTTATTCCCTGATGGGAAGCGATCCCATCAGAGAAGCTTTCATGGCAAACAGCAAATATTTTGTATATTTTAGTGGATTTTAGCAGAGAAGAAAGTTGACTGAGGCAGCACAAAGAGCAGGAAGCAAAGCTTGGTTTGGGATTCCCTCCAGCATCCAGTGATGAACTGGACCTTGATGTGGGTTTCCCTTGATTAATTCTTCCACTCTTCAGGAGACCACAATGGCCTCTCAGCATCCTCTGGTTTCCTCTCTTTTTTATCAGCTCAGCCACTGGCAATATCCTGCTTGACACTGATATTTGCATGAGCTGGTGTTATATTGGTACTTTGCTCTTTAATAACTATATAAATTCATCACCAGTGTGCAATGGAGATGGGGGTAGTTGGGAGAATTTGTGGTTAGAGAGGTGAAAAGGCCCTCAAGACAGTCCATGTGCTCTGTGGGAATACCCCCATTGAATATATGATGGCTTTGTCTTCTGCTTCTGGAGGAAAGGAGGCTTGAGGGGACCTTCTCTCTCTCTCCTCCCAGGTCATGAGTGACAGGGTGAGAGAAAATGGCCTCAGGTTGTTCCAGAGGAGGTTCAGATTGGATATTGGGAACAATTTCTTCACTGAAAGGTTTGTCCAGCCCTGGCACAGCTGCCCAGGGCAGTGGTGGAGCACCCATCCCTGGAGGGATTTCAAAGCCAGGTGGATGTGGCACTTGGGGACATGGCTCAGTGGTGGCCTGGGCAGTGCTGGGGGATGGTTGGACTCAATGATCTTGGAGGGTTTTCCAACCTAAATATTCTCTGTAAAATCCCATTCTTGACGGGAGTCAGGAAGTCACATTCCGGGCTAAAATGACATTAAAATGTTGGCATCCCAACAGCTTTCTGAATGAAAAGTGAAATCAAAATTTGTTTAAATTTTGGGAACGTGGCTCCTGCTATGTGTTTGCAATCGTGACTTTGTGCCCGTTGACTCCAAGGGAAGCAGTTAATCCATTTTTGGGTCGTAGACTGGAGGATCTGTGTTTTGTTTGTCCACAAATGTCTCTTGGTTCCTTGGAGAAAAATCTTCTTTGTACCATGGCAGCAGAATGCTGGGTTTGTGTGGTTTATATACTCATACATCCTGTGCACTACTGTGGAAATCTGGGCTGATGGAAGGTGTCCCTTCCCATGGCAGGGCATGGAACAAGATGAGTTTTAAGGTCCCTTCCAACCCAAACCCTTCTGGGATTCCATGATCACAGTGACCCCGTGCAGACAAATCATCAACCAATATAAATAATCACAGCTCTGGTGTTTTCCAGGCATTCCCTTTGTCCTGTGCTGAGAATATGACCCATATCCTTTCAAACGTGCTGTGGTAACAAACTCAGATCCCAATCCTGCTTTCAGCAAGCTCAGGTGACTTTTTGCAAATGACTTAAATGGTTCCTGAGGAGGCCCAGATCTTACAGCTTTCCTTATGTGCTGCTTGCAGTTTTAAGGTTTGGGAATATGTTAACTTAGCTGGGATGAGAAGGGGAAAAGGCAGCAGTGCTGTTCTTCATCTGTGGAAGTACATTTGTTGGGTAGGCTGTGTTCTTTTACTGCTTTCCTCAAATGCCATTTTGTAACAGTAAAACGCTCCCTAAAAATACTAAAATATTTTTAGTTGTCGAGTACAAATCAGATTGAGCTGCACATTTCCCTCGTGAGTAAAAGTGATGAGTTTGTGTTCATTAACTCGGGGCCATCTGGTGCAGACATGCTGCAGTCTGTGAATCAAACATGCAGCAAACTCCAGGGATCAGAATAACCACCAGACCCAGGCTTGGGGGGGCTTGGGGGCGGAGGAAGAGGGTGGTGGACTATAGATTTCACTCTTTTAAAAATTAACTCTGCTCTTAATGTTGCACTACTGTAAAACTGTGTCCCAGGCCCCTTGGTGACACTTTAAGTAGTGTTCAGGGTGCTTGTCTGCCATTAAAGTGATGGTACCTGTCATCCCAACTGTTTTTGTGTGCAAAAATGACTGAATGGCTCTGTTTCTCTGAATTTATAAATAATGCATCTTGACGGTGCAGCTACACAGATGCAGCTAAAAAATAAATCTAAGCAGTTTTTCTGGGTCTGCACTGGTGGAAGTCAGTGGTGTTTCCACTTATGGTGTAACTGGAGCAGATTTCAGAGTGTTTTGTAGAAAACCTTGAAAAAATAAGTTGTAGCTGGAGGCTCTGATTCCATCTTAAGGGCCTTTTAGAAGCTAAATGATTCTTCTTCTTCTTCCCTGTGAGGGTGCTGAGACCTTGGCACGGGTTGCCCAGAGAAGCTGTGGCTGCCTCATCCCTGGAAGTGTCCAAGGCTGGGTTGGATGGGCTTGGATCAACTTGGGCTAGTGGGAGGTGTCCCTGCCCATGGCAGGGGGTGGAATGAGATGAGCTTTAAGGTCCCTTCCAACCCAAACCAGTCTGTGATTCTGTGTTTCCATGAAATCTGCTTCCATTACCAACCTGGCAGCCTTTATACATATCTCACCCAAATGTCCCAAAATTCCTGCCTCTCCTGTTTATGTTTTTTTCAGGGCTCTGCCTTCATCTCTTCCAATCTCCTGCCTGTCATGGGTTGCAACCATAGCTGGGTGATCCCAAGAGGGGAGGAAAAGCTTGAAAATGTTGTGAGATGATCCAAAGTCACCAGATTCCACCCACAAACCTGTATAACTTCCTGAGTTCATCACAGAATCACAGAATTGTTCAGGTTGGAAAAACCCTCTAAGATCAGCAAGTCCAACCATTCTCCCAGCACTGCCAAGCCCACCACAAGCCATGTCCCCAGGGGTCACCTTTACATGTCTTTGAGAGCCATAAATTCCGTGGTTGTTAGTTTTGTTGTTTCAGTTGTTTCAGTGGTACCTCACAGGGTTTTGCCCAGGACAGGGATCACTCCCTGAGTATATCCAAGGTGGTTGATACCTGTGTTTGGGCAACTGGTTAAACCCCCAGAGCCTTTAGAGCTTTTCTGCTGACTAAAGATGTAGATATTTGCTTTGAGAGGACTTGAGTTGCTCTCTGGACTCCACTGGGTGGGGTTTAGTTGCCAAAACATATAAATCAAGAGCTGTTAAAGAGGGTGAAAGGTATCTGGGATGTCCATGGTAAGCTGACAGAAATGACTGGTACCCACAGGAGATTAAAGCCATGGAAATGGTAGTCAGGGGCTGGACAAGATTCCCTATGGCATCTCAAGTAATACCTATGGATCCCTATGTTTAGGCATGAAGCTGTGTCAGGGGAGGTTTAGGATGGATCTCAGGAAAAGCTTCTTCCCCCAGAGGGTGGTGGGGCACTGAACAGGCTCCCCAGGGCAGTAGTCATGACCCCAAGGCTGCCAGAGCTCAAGGAGTGTTTGGACAACGCTCTCAGGAACATGATGGGATTGGTGGAATGTCCTGTGCAGGGCCAGGGGTTGGACGGGATGATCCTTGTGGGTCCCTTCCAACTCAGGATATTCTTTTATTCTACGAACCATATCCTGAAGTGAGACTTTATTATCTTTACAGGGGGCTTAGAAACCTTTTGTAATTTCCCAAGCCAAAGTTTCTGGAGGAGAATCCCATTTCATTTATTTTATTAGATGTCCTGAGGGGTAACTTGTATTCTTTACATCTGTCATGTATCCACTGTCTCTTTGCCTGAAAGTTGTGTTCATCCCTGTAAAAGATGGGATGCTGCATCTCCTTCCTGATCCAGGTGCAGTCCCCGGGTGGGGACTGAAGGCCAGCTTTTCCTGTGGGTTTTGGCTTTTCCATGGACCACTACTGCAGTTGTCTGTAAATGAGGAATGAACCAGCTGAAACCCAGGGTGAAATCAGGAGACAGAAGATTCAGGTCCATAGTCTATCACTGACTTAATACAAAAAAACAAGTTTAAAAGATCTATTATTAATATCTGAAGGGAGAGCAGCAGTTAGTGATCACTTCTGAACAAAGATTGTGTTTCCATGACAATACCCCCATCACTGGATAATCCATATACCATAAGCTTGTCTGTCCTGCTGGGAGGTATTTTGGCATTTCTTTCCAGAAAAATTCTGAAACTCAGAGTTATGCCTTTGAAAAAAGTTGTGTTTTATTTAAAGATTCCCGTTCTTTTCATCACTCTCTTAAATGACTGGCATTAATGGGCCCCAGTCAAAGGAGATAATGGTGCTGCACAGCCCCCTTGTTTCCTTCCTCTGTCCTCTTTGAGTCTCCTCATCAAAATGACCGTCCCCGTTCTCTTTTCTTAATTTCCTGCCTGGATTCAGCCCCTCTGCTCTCCCATTAAGGGCAGTTTTGTGAATGACATCTTTGAAAGCTCATCATGGCTTTCATTTGCCTGCGAGGGAAATGGCTGCTTACTCATATCCTTTGGGAAATGGAGTTTACCTTCCAAAGAAGCCTCTTTTTTCAGTACTTTGTACCAGAGTTTTTGCAAATTTCTCCGTTGGCTGCTCCTTTGGGCACCTCTAGGAAGAGAAACACATGTTCCTACTCATTTAAGCAAGATATTGAGTGATATTCAGGCTCTAATAGCTCATTTTTCAAGTAACTTTTTCTGTAGGATGAGGTGATTTTTTGTCATCCTCTACTAAAAGATGCTTCAAAGTTGCACTGATTTATTTCTCTGTAGGGTTGCTTTTCCTCCTTCAGTCTCATGATGTTTCAATTTGAGTGTTTGGATTTTGGATGTTAATAAAATTCTGATGCTGATGCTATTTTTATCACATGTATGTTACTTTAGCTCCTTAGGACCCGAGAGAAAGGCTGCAGCTGTGTCAGGGGAGGTTTAGGTTGGATCTCAGGGAAAGGTTCTTCCCCCAGAGTGTGGTTGGGCACTGAACAGGCTCCCCAGGGCAGTGAGCACAGCCCCAAAGCTGCCAGAGCTCAAGGAGTGTTTGGACAACACTGTCAAGGACAGGGTGTGATTATTGGGGTGTCCTGTGCAGGGCCAGGAATTGGACTGGATGATCCTTGTGGGTCCCTTCCAATTCAGGATATTCTGTGATTCCAAGATCCTTTTATACTCAATTTATGCCTTCATTGCACAGCAAAAGTTCACAACAAGCTTTAGCAAAGATGAAGAGCAGAGTTTGTGTTGAAAGAGAAGCTAATGTTCATTACAGCACCTGACTTTACATGTCTTTGAGAAGACAGAATCACAGAATCACAGAATCACAGAATCATTAAGGTTGGAAAAGCCCTCTGAGATCATAAAGTCCAACCATAACCCAGCACCACCGTGTTCACCACTAAACCACGTCCCCAAATGCCACAAAGACATATAGAGCTTCCCAAGCCCTTGACGTGAGCCAAGAGCACTCCAAGATCTGACCCAGCAGAACTCCCAGCCTGGGAGCGCATTGTGCCTCATCCACCAGGACCAGCAGTTCCTGCAATTTGCTCTCCACTTTTCCTTGCTGCAGCCCATGAGGCAGCTGTTTCCTTTTCATGAAATTACGTGGTGGGGTGCAATGCTCAGTCAGACAGAAGTGCCTCAGCAAAGCCATTTCCAATTTGTTTTTCATTGGGATGACTGAGAGAGGCTCACTTTGGCTTTCCAGGGGAGATTTTGGAGCTCCTGATCTGTGGGAGCAGAGATATCAGGGGGTTGTAGTGGGTACAAGGTTATTTTCATAGACCTGCACATGCCTTCTGTTCCTATTTCCTTTCAGAAACTGCATCTTGTGTCAGAGAATAAAAAGAAGGAATTTTATTCAGTCTATTATCATTGTTATTAGTCTTATTCCATCCTTCCCTCTTTTCTCTCCATTAGCCCTGGGCATCCCTTTTGGAGTAGGAGGTGGCTTTTCCTACATCCCCTTAGTGACTGAAAGAGCTCAGCCCCAATAAACTCATCAAAGTTCAGGCTCCTCAGCCACTCTGGGGGTTTCCAGCACATTCCTCTGGAAGCTCACAGGGACAATGACTGTCACATGCTGTGCCAACGTCAGGGAGCGATGCCAACATGCCATGTCATGGACTTATGGCACAATATGAACTGACAGGGCAGAGCCAGCCCATCCCCTGTAGAACCATGGCTGGGGTACAGCTGTGCTCTCACACTGGATATGTGGGAACAGCATTAATTTAAATGCTTTAATTCCATCTGGATCTTCTTGGCTTTATTCAGTGAGTCCACAAGAGCCCTTCTTTGAGGCAGTGTAGCTGAACAACTCCATTTAATATGTTAAATAATCCAGTGCTGTGCGTTGGTCAGAAAAGAAGGATGAGGAAGTCCTAATTAATCAGATCTCTTCCTAATTGGCTGTGGCAAAGAGATTTCTCTTCGTGCCAAGGGCACACAGTGGCCGAGTTCCTGGCTTTGCCTAAATAAGACAGAGGCTGTTTCTGCAAGTGCTGTCCCGGATTTGTTTGGATTTGCTTGGAGGAGTCGGCAGCAGAATGTCAGGTAGATTAATCTTGGCTTCTGTACATCCTGTCTCAGTGTCATCCCTTTGCCTCCCATCCTCTTTGCCCAGGAGTTTGAGTGCAGCATTTTTAGCCTTGAATTTTGAACTGTTCTGATGAGGCTCCTGTGAAGCAAATGGAATTTGACTGGCAGCTCTGGAGCTCCAGTGAGTGAGTGAGTGGAATTAAATTGTTGACTGTGTGTCATTAAAGAAAGGAAAGAGGGATTTACAGTCTTAGCCATTAGTTTTCTTCATTTTTTCAGAAAAGTTCTTAAAACAACCTGATTGGACAACATATAAAGAGCAGCTTTACAGCATTTCAAAGCAATAAAATGTGATCTTGACCATTTCTGTTGGCAACTCATCTCACCTTTGCACTTTTGGATCACCTCTCTGGGCTAAATCTGCTCCCTTTGGTGGGGAAGAGTCCAAACCAAACCTGCTGGACAGGAGTCAGTTGTCAGCTGTGTGTGGGATAAATGGGGAACTCTGGGTGCTGTGATGTTGTGTCACTTAGAGAAAGCTCTGACTCTTTGTTCCTCTGAGCTTCTGCATTTCCAGTGCCTAAAGTTGCTCCAAGAGAGCTGGAGAGGGACTTGGGACAAGGGATGGAGGGACAGGACACAGGGAATGGCTTCCCACTGCCAGAGGGCAGGGTTAGATGGCATATTGGGAAGGAATTGTTGGCTGTGAGGGTGGTGAGGCCCTGGCACAGCTTGCCCTTGGCACAACCACGAGCCCATTTGTACCAAAGAGGTCCTGTAGAGATGTCAGAGAGGAGGAGAGGGTCTGTCTCAGCCCAGCCCTGTACCCAGAAGAAAACACCCTCCAGAGCCTTCAGGCTTGCAGGGATACATCATTTTCCCATCTCACAGATAAAAAGCAGCAGCTTTTCTCCCACCCCAGCAGTGACACAAAAGACAAGATGGGGACAAGTGAGGAGGGGGAGACAGCATTGGTAGAAGAATGGCTGCAATCAGATGACAATGAGATTATATCAACTGTGTTGTGAAAGTTCTGATAATTAATTGTTTCTTGAACTGTGCAGCCTGTTTGTTTGATCTTCCTTCTGCATTTCTAAAGTGATGTATCATTTTATTTTCCTTCATCCTTTTTTTTTTCCTTGTGAACCATATTTCTATACTTCAGACTTGATTTAGTAACCATAGCAATGAAATAAATGCATTGTCTTCATTTACAATGGTGTCTAAATAGGTGCTCAGCTCCCTGTAAGTCCTTTAGCAAGGGATGGTTCCCTGCCACCACAATGAGAAGGCTCTGGGTGATGTTATTGAAATCATTTTCACTTTGATTTCATGACATCGAGTCCAAAAGTCTCTGAAAATGCATTTGTGGCTACTTCATTTCTCAAGGGTATATACATAGAAATATAAAACCAGAACTTTCCAGGGGGATTCTTTGTGGAGAGAACATGGTTGGCGTTATATCTTTCCAGATACAAAGAAATGCATTAATACCTTTTATTTCCTTATGCTGCCCTCACATTTTGAATAACCCACAAGTTTTTATAAGCAAAGAACAAAAAGAATGCAGACTGACTTCTTCTCTAAGAAAGGGTATGTACTCCTGTACTCCAGTCCTTACAGGAATGGATGTAAACTGTTTTCATTTCCTAAGGTTAAAAATAAAAGCTGCAAATGGAAAAAAAAAAAAAAAGGACGAAAAAACTCTCCTTTTGTGTCCTTAACAGATTGGGTTTGCAGCTCAGTGGCAGAGACATGACTTCATTCACCTTTTATATATTAATTCTGTTTGTCTAAGTCTTATGTAAACATAATTCAGGCATTCTCTAGAACACAGACAGATTTCTGTACATTTGTGCTGCAGTGATGCTGTGGCCTCACAGTAAGAGTTGGGCGTCACAGTTGAGCAGCTCTTTGCAACTTTTTTATTTTTTGATGGTCATATGGCACAGTCAGAGAACCATGGAATGGTTTGGGTGGGAAGGAACCCTAAAGATCACCCAGTTCCACCCCCTGCCATGGGCAGCAACACCTTCCACTATCCCAGGTTGCTCCAACCTGGCCTTGGACACTTCCAGGGATGGGGCAGCCACAGCTTCTCTGGGCAACCTGTGCCAGGGCCTCCCCACCCTCACAGGGAAGAATTCCTTCCCAATATTCCATCTAACTCTGCCCTCTGGGAAGTCATTCCCCCTTGCCCTGTCCCTCCATCCCTTGTCCCAAGTCCCTCTGCAGCTCTCCTGGAGCCCCTTTAGGCACTGGGAGAGGCTCTGAAGTCTCCCTGGAGCCTTTTCTTCCCCCTTCACAATCAGAGAGTGCTGTCATGGATCCACACTGGAATTACAGCATTTCCTCTGTGCATCCCATTCTTTCCCTACCTCTTCCACAAGGAAAAATGCTGGACTAGTGTCAACACTGAATCCCACTCCAATAAATGCCAACTGTGTGTTGCTCCATTCACCATGAGCAGCTCTTGGATGGAGCAGTTACAGCCTCGGAGATTCAAATTTAAATCTTTCAGCTCCAGGCACATTTTCTAAAAGAAAAGACTTATTATCCCTTTTACATATGGAGATTAGATTTCCAGGAAAAAGAAACTGGAAAGGATTGGAACCATCAGCAAATTAGAGACCTAAATTAGACTTCCCTGAAAATTTTGCACAGAAATATTTCTTGACCAAAAATGTGGTTTTTAACTGAGGGAAATTGTCTCATTAGGATGATTTTTTTATCTTTGGGTAGTGATGCCTCTCAAAAAATCCATTTTAGACTGTTGATTGTGTATCTATATGTTGACATATGGCTGTGTGTATGTGCTGGATAAACAGCCATTATCTGGATTTTTTGTTTTTTTCATGACAGTTAAAAAAATCAATGGGATAAGAATAGATTAAAGTGTGATTCTCCTATTTGATTTGATCTGGGTTTTTTTGTGAAAGGAGGGAATTTTCCTACTGGCTCTACTTTTAAGAGTAATTCATAGCTTCTGGCCATTGCCTGTGTGTTATAAATGCCCAATTGCACAAGCCAGGTGCTGACTCTGGGCTTTTAAACTCTGTATCTCTCTACTAGACTAAATCAAGAAAAAAAACTCTTGCAAGTTCACGGCATGACTAACAGCAGGAAAGGTAATTTATCCGTACCCTGGGGTTTGCAGGGAGCCTGAAAATTGAAATTGAAGCTCAGCCCCGTGTCCTGGGGACTTCACTTCTGTGTTACCTGCCCATGGTACTTCAACAATTTTCACCCGTGTCTGGTGGGGTTTGAGCCTTCCCTGTAGCTGGGCTTTAGCTGGGGGATGCAGCAGAGTGAACTCTGCCTTTTGGGCACAGAGAGGGGACTTGGAGCCTGCCCTGGGTCTCTCCAAAGGCTGGTGTGTGTTGTCTTTGACTCAGAAGGAAAACCTTTTTATCTTAGGAAAACCTCTGAAACACTATTTCTTTTTATTTCTTCTTGGTTCCTGCCGTGCTGGTTTAGATGACAGTGCAGGCAGTTCCTGCTAAAGGATAATGAGTTTGGGGGTGATAGTCTTTTTAGGGGGAGGTGTTAAAGGCAGAGGCTGTTCCTCAAGATTGCAGTAAAACAGGAGAGAAGCCTTTTAACCTTCTCCTAAAACAGGAGTGAAGGTGGACAGAGCCCTGAACCCTGACTGATGGCAACAGAAATCATGATATTTTGGTGCTGATCAGCCCTTTCTTTTCTGTATATCTCAAATAGGGAATAGAGAAGTTAAAGGAAAACAAGGGGTTCATCCTGTCTCACCAGAAA